TGGGAAAATTACAGCCTTTGAAGTTCCACAAACCGGAGCTTTGCGGCGTCAATTTTTCATTAGAATTCATCCCGCCCGTTTCCCCGTGCCTGCAGATACCTGCCAACTGGTTCCGTATTTTAAGCAGCCTAGTGTCGTGAACAAACGCCAAGTACTGTATGAAGGTTACTTTCCTTTTCCCCTGATATTTCACATGTTCCATATCTAGCCTTTGAAGTTAGCCGCCCTCGTAGATGGGGGTAGGCTGATTGGAAATATGAAAGAGGTTTGGACATAACTCGCCCGCCCTTTTAGCCCCTCGGTCGAGAGAACAAAGGAGTATGGATTTTAAATTTTACCTAAGAGGCGGGTCGTTTTAACCAATTTTCACAAGCGGCTTGTTTACATGAAGCTTAAAAGCTCCATTGGGGATTCGACGTCATAACTTGGCGATTTTCCTTTTTTCTTTTCCCTTTTTTGCTGCAATTAAAACATTTTTTTTGCAAAAATTATATTTAGCTAAAATGAGGTGACCAAATGCATATAACATGATGGACTCGGAATTAATTTAAAAACTTCCAAATTCGAAATGTTAAAAAATTATTGAGCATTTTTTCGCATGTCCAGGGCACCAAAAACCAATTATAATACCCTTTATTTTAATGTCAATTTTTTTTGCCTCAAATGGAAAAAGAGCACAGCGCGAAATGTCAAAGATTTTTTTCAAGGGTTAATTTTGAAAGAATGGGTTGAAAAGATAGCATTGTGTTGATTGACAGGGCTGAACAACTTCAAATTATGCAAATTGTTTCTGAAGTGAACAAAGTTTATTCACACTTGCATCTTCAGATTAAAGTTATCTTCATTTGTTCATTTGAGACTCTTGTTTTTTCACGCCTGAATGTTATCGTTGTGCAAACTTCATGAAGAATCGATAAATTTTGTAAAATACAAATTAGGTATTGATCATGGGTAAAATGTAATTTTTAAAATCATACCCCATTTGGGCAAAGCTGATTAGCATTTTAAGATACGCAAAAATGCCAATCTGATTTAGCCCCGCCCTTCTCAACTGAGGAAATACGTCAGTGATTTTTACGACGGGTGTGATTGGAAATACCTGCCCAAATACCTCCTAATATGTCGGTTGAATTTATACCCTGAGGGTTTATTTTTGAATGAGAACGTGTGCATCGACATTTCTGACAGGACACTGACTGCTCACTGATGAATTATATTAAAAATATCCCTGCTTTTTATTGCGATTTCACAATTCTCTGTAACCAACACTACACAATAGTATGTGTATGTAGTCATTACTGCCGCTTTTCCCCTACTTTTCCAGATAAAATTGACGCAGATCCATTCATTAATCAACTCAAATGTCCCTTCAGGGAAATTACGTGGCGGTCCTTCTGGAAATGCCAGTCACTAGCAGCCCCGCCCTTCGCGTGTCAATTTCTCATTTTACTCAATTGCATTAACCCAATGAAGGGACGGAAAGATACACGCCTCTAATGAACAGAAATAACCCCAAATGAAATTGCATTAGTAATCAAATAAAAGGTGTGCCCGAATTTCAGAGTGACACGCGTCTATAAGGCAGCAGATAGGCCATTTATACTCGCATGCTCTAAATGATGCAGGTAGTTTTGTCCACTATTTAATTGATAGTCGAGAACTGATTTTCCGATTTTTTTCTCCTTTTTGGGTCTACTTGACAATCCCCCCCCCCCCTCATATTGTATCTACTAAAAGAATCTACCCCCCTTTCTTGAAAGGGGGGGGGGATTGTTAAGTAGATCCTCCTTTTTTCTCAATAAAAAGCACTAGATCTTCGTTATCTATCGTTTCTGAAAAAGTAAAGATTCATGAATGGTATTTTTCATGATTTGTACAAAATATCGGACTTTATAAATTTGTCAAAGGTAATAGGTTTATTGTTTATCTACAGGGCGGAGAGCTGAAAGTTACTCTTAATAAGAAGTGGCTTCTGAACTGCAAATATGTCTGAAGTGTCACTTAATTGTCATCTCGGAGCTATCAGCCGCGCCAGGTGTATTTGAATTGAGTATGGTCGCAGAAGTTTCAAGTATTTGAACAATTGACTAAGTGTTTTATGATGAATGTCAATTAAAACCGACCATAAATTCGTATCATGACAAATAAATTAATATCGAAACATGTGCCTGCTTCTGTTTATGTAGACGGCAACGGCAACGAGCGAGGTGTAGTTAGTTGAAAAACCTTGCTTCTTTTAATCTAGTTAAACAAAAAACAAGCTGTTTTAAAAACTATTTAACAATTGTGAATCCTTATTTGCAATTTTAAGTCTCCACAAAATTAATAATTCCTGGAGTTTGACCTGAAAACAGATTTTTATAACTTAGCATCTGCCAGAATGTTTGACAGGCTATCTTGACAAAATTGAAGTTTTAAATTAAGTGCCTGCTGCGCTGAATTCGCATTTTTTTTATTATTTTTTATTTCTTAAATTAACTTTTATTTATATTTCTATCCATTTTATAAATTTGATTAGGCCTTTTTATTATGACTGTCGAATCAACGCAACCCTCGCCTCAAGCTACACAAGTATGAGTATTTTTAAGTTTAATTAATCATAAATAGCTTATGCAATTTTTTATCACAACTGATAATCCCCATGAAATTAGGTTCAAGTAGATTTCGCTGTTGCATTTGAAGGTCTTTTGTTAGTACCGGATGGAAATTAAATATCCTTGAAATTGACTCCCCTTCCTTTCTAAACTTCCTCCAAAATGTTTTTTTTTTTAAATCAAAAGTATGCCTGGATATCGATTGCTAGCAATTTAGTTAAAATTTCGATTTTTTCGAGATTTGATCCTCATTTTTTGTCCGCTAAGTCATGATTTCCAAAAATAATTGGATTTTTTTCGTGCGATGTTTTTTTCCTATACTTTTTCATTTTCACTTATTTTCTAATACTTCAATCACGCAGTTTCTAAATTTTTAATTGTCATTATTTTTTTTGTTGCTATCAGTTCCAAAATTATAGGATCAAACTACACTAACGGGTAGAAAAAATCGTTTCAAGAAAAAACTCAAAATTGAGGTTTGACAGCCGTAGATGAAATACAACGTTAAACGCTCTGACATTTGAGCAGTGTGACAAGTTAGGCTTTATAAATTTTTGTGATGTTTTCACCTAATTGGCAAAATAATCCTTTATTCACTCTTTACGAAAATTCATTCTGTTCATTTTTTTAATCATTCAGCTAAGAATCAAACAATGAAGAAACAATAAATAAACATGTCGATGAAAAATAAATAAAAATTCAAGCTGGTCAATCCAGGCTGTGGAAATTTAAAAAAAAACTAGTTTCACTGAGGTAAGTCTTTAGACGAGTAATAGAAAGTCTTAGAGTCTGAAAAACAAATAAAAAGACAATCAATGATAATGGCAAAATCAATATACCACATTTTTTGGATTTTTTTGCAAAATTTTTAAAATATGTTCAATTTTTCTACAAATGTTTGATTTTTTTGCAGTATTTGCACAGCAACTAACAACACTTGTTTTCGAGGATGTTTTTTGTACCTCAAACTTAGCTCGTTGTGTGTGCTATTATATTGAAACCCTCTTTTTATGATTCAATTTCTAAAAAAGCGACTTAAGATTTCGGGTATCAAGAATCACTAGTTAGAATGATTTTGCAAATTCAGAATTTGCAAATTCAAAATTTAATGAGAAGAGAACGAAGTTTAAAAAAGAAACAATTTCTTTTACTTTTCAAAAATATTCATATGAAAACATTCTCCGGTACTTGCACAGCCACCGGCCGCTTATTTTTTTCGAATAATAAAAAACACCCATCGTGTAATAAAAACAATCTATTTTTCATTTAAAACCAACAAAAATTTCTTGAAATCTTTTTGTGTGTTATTCTGTTTTTCTTTGGACTTTTTTCTCAGTGAGAAGTCTTAAAAATTGTTCACCCTTAAAGTGTGAGTTAAAAATTGACATCCATTTCAAGATATGCCAGCGGAATTAAAATGAGGAGGAACGAAGTAAGTGGTGTATCATATCATAGCCCTTTCAGTCGTGATTCGAACTACTTTCTAAATTTTCCAAAAAAATCTCCCAGTCTCGAGAAAAACTGGTTTCAAATTTTCCTCCATTTTTTATGTGATTTTCATTTTTGAATTTAATTTTTGCCAAATTCAATTAGTCTCTACACAATTGCATAGTTATGAAATGACACCACCCATTAAAAACGGCACTAACTTGAAAAAAATCAATTTTTTAAATAATATTTTCAATGAATATCAGTCGGATTAATCCGTGCTACTTGCTTAGCAACTGGCTATCCTTGTTTCTATTTGGGTAAGTTTTAAGAAAAAATTGTTTACCATAATTTTTTTTTAATTCATTGACACTTTTCCAACAGTATGTTGACTATGTTCTAAACCGCAATGAAAGAAGTTTATCAGAAAAAATGTATATTAAGGTTGTTGTTATTTTTTACTGAATTAGTTTCAATTGCGCATTTTTGTTTTCATTTTTTTCTGCGCGTCGCGACAACTAGCAATAACTAATATTTGGTATCTGCGGCAATAACAGGTCTTATAGAAACAGGTCAAGAAACAGGTCAGATCTCTGAAATCGCAAGCACGCTACATGTAGTAGACCGCTTGCGTTGTTCTCGGAATCAGCTCAATCAAAAACTTCCGAATTACCGCTTGTTCTGAGTTTTTATATCTTCCTAGTAGCCCGAACGCATTTTATCTGATTTCAATGTTGCATATCATTTGGTTGCAATTGGGTAGAGCAAGCAGAGTAATCAAAAATTGTTGACTTGTCACTGTTCCTAGTAGTCCGGGCGCGTCTGGATTTCTTTGATGTTCGTGATCTTTTTACTGAAGCAGGGGTTCTCCGTAAACAGCTCTGGCTCACCTTGGTGGATTAATAGTCTTAATTAAATATTTAATTAATTAATTCATTCATTCCTTAATGATGTTCATGTTGTTCTGTTCTGTTTCAGATCATCTTCTCGAGTGAGTTCACACAATGTGGAAACATGGGTCAAAGTTGGCACGTGGACCACTTCTGCTGCAGCGAGTGTGAGGCCACTCTCACGGGGGGCAAATATGTCATGCAGGGTCCCCACCCCTACTGTCCCTCCTGCTATGACTCACTCTTCGCATATACTTGTGCACTGTGCCATGACGTCATAGGTCAGTACTAGAGTCTTCTTAATGATCTCTTAATTACATGGCACTAATTTGAAAAAAAAAAAAAAAACTTTTTTAAAACTAAACTTTTTTTTCTAAATAAATTTCGACGGAAGTTTTTGTGCTACTTGCACAACAACCTGCTATCAGTAGTGCTATCCTTATTTTTTTTCCTCGACTGCGAATGTTCTTTTATATTCAATCCCATTACTGAGTAAGGCTATGCAAAAATTATGATCCACTATTTTCATCTAATTGTTCTGAGTTTTTTTGTCCTGAAAAAAAAAGTGAAAATGATGAGTAATTTGCTACAATTGGTACTGAATTGGGTTGCTTATTACAGGGTACCTCGATTTCAACAAATGACTGATTTTGTACAAATATTGCAGCAGTAATGAATAGGGATTTTGTGGGGCGTAAAATCTATAAGAAAAAGAAAACAAATCCATTTGCATTATTTTTTCTCTCTTTTTTTCCGCTTCCATGACCTCTTTCAATTTCCATTCAATCATATTACCTCGCACCTGAGATTCACTTTTACTTGGCCCAATTTTTTTCCTCGCACGGTTCTAATCAATAAAATATCCTGCTTAGACAAAAGTTCTTAAAAGCTGAATATAATTTTTGGGAAATAATTCAAATCGATTGAATTCAATAAATCAAAAAAATAAGCTAATCAAAAATCAAGTATTTTTCCCAAATCCTGAAAATCGCTTAAAATTTCCATCGTAAATCAACGTGATTCTGTTTTTCTCGCTAATCCCGCGCGACAACTTGACCATAAATCTGTGTAAAAGCCATCCCAGATAACTTTTTCAACAAAGTATCAGCAATTTTGTAGCTTTTTTGCTTGTTCTAAGCCAAGTTCATTAATAATCCTTTCCTATCTATTCTTCCCTAAGCCATAAAAATCCTATAAATATATGGGGCCTATGTCCCTCCTAGGGGCTGAACAGAAAATGAAAAATCATTTTTCGTCTGTGTTTTCTTAGATTATTTATATGAAAACCGCCCACGGATATCATTTAAATCTCGATAACAAAAGTTGTTTATTATTTTTATTTCCCATTTTCTCCTACATTTTTGTTTTTAATGCGTGGGCATCGTAAAATTTATTGATAATGTACTTGCATCGAATATAAATTGATTTCTGAAAGAAAAATGAATTTAAAGAAAATATGAAGAAACACAATAGAAAATTGTAACCAACCATATTCAAAGTTTAACTTGTATCGTCAGTTCAATTATATGTAAAGAACCATCTCTGTCAAATCTAGCCCGTCAAAAAGCCCTCATTCTTGTAGTTTCTTAGACCAAAAACCTATTTGACAATCATCAATCAGAGGCGAAATAGTCTTTTCAATTTAACACTTCAATGCGTCTTGAAAGAGCTTCTCAGCTCTAATTTGACACAAATTTTACCTTTCAAGTCTAATTCAATCTGATTAATGACTTAAGAATGATGACTATTTTTAATTAGACTGCTTTGAAAAAATCAAAAGCAGAAACGTCACTTTTTAAAAAAGTGTCCAGCAGAGTGTGAAAACAAATGCGGGTTCTTTTTCTGGAATTTTTTGCTAACAATTTTTGTCTTTTTTGTGTGTTTTTTTTTCAATCTAGAGGTTTAGTTGAACCAGATTTGTTTTGTTTTGGTTCTTGAATCTGTTTCGACCATCTGGTCATCTGTATTAATGGTGGGATATCGGGTATAAATTTTATCCCTGGGGCGGTCACTTCTGCGATAACTTGAGCCCCAAATCCGCCCTCTCCCCATCCTGCGCTTTCATAAATGGCCCTCTAAAATTTCACCCCAGGGTTTTCTTACAGCATGGCGCTTCTTTTGTCATAATTTAATCCAAATTGCCGAATTTCATATTATAGGTTTTTTTTCAAAAATAAAAAAGTATGAAGAAGTGAAATGTTTAATAATTTTTAAAGCGAGCTGCAAAAATTGGGAAACCGATATACTCTAACATAAAAAGTGAAAAAATCTTCGTCTTAGTTTTCAGTCGGCCATGTGAGTGTGGTGAGAGTGGTTTTGATATGAACTGGTTGTAAGAGGCGGGGATTTGTTTCCAGGTGCCGAGGACACTCAAGTGACGTATCAGGATCAGCACTGGCACGCCAACAGAGAAGGCTGCTTCAACTGCCACAACTGCTCAAAGAATCTAGTCGGTCTACCATTCATCCCCAAAACCGGAATCATTTTCTGCTCCCAGTCCTGCAAAAAGGGCGAAAAAGTATCCTCCTCTCCGCTGCTGGACCAGCGGAAGAACCCGTCCCCAGTGTCGTTCCGCAACCTCCGGAATCTGAAGTCAACAGCCGGACCCAAACCATTGGTTCCGCCGATAGAAAAACCGGTATTCACGGGACTTTCAAATCCAGGGTCAAATCACAGCAGCAACCACTCATCGCCCAGCTCAAGCGCCAAAAACAAAAACAGAACCGCACCAACTAGCCGAATTTATGGAACGTCAACTCCGCCGAAATCTCTGTCTCAAAGCTTAGAAGACTCTGTGAAACTTTCAATGCACATTAGCCAAGATGGACATTATGTTAAAGATGAGGACTATGATAGCGCCCTGTCGTCTTGTCATAGTAGTACTTTAGACTCTCCTCAAAACGGAACCCTAATTTCACTAGATCGACCCCCACCCCTGCCCCCTAAGCCCAGCTTCATGCGTGGGGGTCTGCATTTAGAGCGAATCCAGGAGCAGCATTACGTGGACAAATTCTCTGAAAACCTCGAAAGCGTGATGGAACAACCAAATGATGACGAAGAAGGAACGAATGTTTATTTTGAACAGGCAGTTTCAATCACACCTGAAACTGATCACGTGTATGCGGAGCCGAAACGCCAGCAAAATCAACAGACCACTACCACCCAACCCCCAAGGTCAATGCCCGACCTATCCAAGTCAGGTCGCACGAGGTCAATCCTGAAAGACGAACCAACAAAATACACCCCGGCTCCCGAACTGAATGAAACGCTAACAAACAGTGCTAAAAACGTGAGTTTCAACCCCGAAATTAACGAACGAGCTCGAAGTAATAGTTTAACGAGATCAGAGGAGTCTCGAGCTGATATAAATTCAGGTGCGTTCAGTGATTCGGAAGACTTCAACTTTTCTAAAATGAGAGGCGCAAAGGAGCTTAGACACAGAAAAGACTTACTGAAAGCAGTAGCCAGAAGCTTCACAAAAGAAGAGCTGGAAGAATATTTGGGACATCGGGCGGCGTCCAGAGCGACGAGACCCGGTCGGAACCGAAGAGTCGAAGACGGGTTCCGACACCGAATCGACTGTTGCGACTCCGACAGCTCCTCGAGTTCGAGCGACGACGAAGGCGAAGACTATTATTGGGCGCCAAATGCACAATCAAGTTCACATCAAGCTACAAGAAGAGGTCAAAGTATTTATTACAACCACACACCGACCAGACATGCGATTTACGGCCAGCGCAAGAAGCGTTCAACAGTTTCGAAAAAGAACAGCTGCAAAATCAGTTGAGAAATATTTGCGCTTTTAAAACTCTCTGGAAGTTTCTAGAAAATGAGTAAAAAAATAAACCAAAATCCGAAATGAGAACTAAAAACTCAGATGAAACCCGATCTTTGCAATTAAACTTCCCTGAATTTGTGTTTTCTTAATTACATCCTAATGAATTTCGCCCCTTTAAACTGCGATTAATATAAATATATTTCAAATATGCCAGGAATTGCGATTGATTAACATTTGAGTTATTAAATAGCTTTTAATATATTTTTATATTAAGATTTAATCTATTTGTAATTAGACTATTTGGAAATCTGATATTCTTCTTCAAATGAGAAATTGAGAAAATTATTGATAAATTTTATTGGCTTTATCAAAAGCAACCCCCCCTCTCACCATTAAGAGCAAATAGCTTATCCACTGACTGCTCAAAGACCCTTTTTGTTCCGTTCATTTGAAAAATTGGAAGTAACTTTGTATTCGGGTGTGTTTTAGTTTTTTTTCCACTCAAAGTCAGGTGCCAGAAATAACCATCGAACTGGAATGAGTGATATATCATTATAAAGTCCTTTCAGTCGTGATTCGATCTACACTAAGAAATTTCCAAAAAAAAACTCTCCTAATGTCGAGAAAATTCGGTTTGAAATTTTTGATTTTTTGTCTTAATTCGAGCAAATAAAGCAAACGAACAGACTTACAACAGCTAAATTATGCCTAATTTAAGAACTTAAAACTAAATTTTGAGCAAGTAAACCTAGTTTTGGAGTTTTTTCGCTCCATTTTGGTAACCAAAAATTTCAAAAAACTCATAAGTTTTCTGCAAAGTTTTTTTCTTACTAAGTTTTTTTAGTCATGTTTCTTCAAAACTTTTTGTCCAATTTGCCTATAATATTATGACTGTCGAATATGCCTAAATTATATTTTTACTTCAGATCATTTCATCAAACCAAGCAGAAAAACTACACTAACTTGGAAAAAGAACTTTTTAAACCGTAGTTTTCTAAAGACAATGGTCGGTAAATTCTGCGCAACTAGCACAGTAACCGGCTATCCTTGTTATTGTATTATACTTTCGATTTTTGACCGGCCTTACAAAAAGCACCTTCACAAAAAATTAGGAGCTGCAAGCGTTTTTGAGAGTTAATGATGGTAAGGACGCCTCTTATAGATCCTGATGATTTTTTAATGTCTCTTTTGGGGAAGAATCGTGTTATTTTGAAAAATCCATTTTTGTCAAGCTGGGTTATTTTATCAATAAAGTGTAAATCACAATTTACTCTTGAAAGTCAAAAAGCTTGAGGGGTAACCGCCGTGCGCCAAAAAAATTCAAGTCAAATCCTTCCAAAAATTGCCTTGAAACGTCATACTTGGTCTTTTTTTAAAGTTTTGATTTTTTTGCGAGAAAATGGAAGATCCATATGGTCGAATTAAGAGAAAAAGCGACGAGACGTTCGAAATTGTTTAAAAAGCCAAGAAATTCCTAATCCGCCATTCACTACAAGCGTTTTTGATAGTCAATGATGGTAGTGAAGTCTCTTAGTGAAGTTGTTTTAGAATGTTAGTGAAGCTCATATATCAATAAAATGCCAATCACAAATTATTCTTGAAAGTCAAATAGTTTTCAGCCCATATAATTTTTCTTTGACATTCGTAATTAAAGTTTTTTCAAAAGCAAATGTTTTCTTTTACTGTTTTCTTGCGTTTATTGACTCTTTTTCAACTGTCTGTTGGTTTTTCAAACTTCCAATTTTTTCCTAGAGAAATTTAAATGAAGCAAATAAAACAGGGTTTACATTGTGCAAAAAGTAGCGCGTTAATTTTCAAAGATGGATTTCGTTTCAGAGCTTCCAGTGAATTAGTAAGACTACATAGTACCCTCAAATTTGCATGATATAAAATTGCTCATCAAACACTTTTCTAATTTCGACGAAGCTTTGCAGTGCGTTTATTGTTCCTGCGTTTGATGAATTGAATGAATAACTGTGCTCGGGTGATTCTTTTTTTTCTCGAGACAAACTCCGACTTTGTAACAGTAAAAACTTTTGAAAGTATGTTTTTATATCATGCGAAGCTATCGTTGTCTTGAGTTCTAATAAAAAAAGTTTTCCTTTGATTAGTTTTTGTAAAAAATGGTGGTTTGACGGATGTAATTTTGACTAAATGGGTATAAATGATACGCAAAATACTTCCAGCTATTAACGTGCAAGCGGAGATTTAATTCGTCTTAGATATTGAGATATTGTTCAAAAATAAAAAGACGCAGATTTCTTGGTTTATTTAATACTTTGCTAGCTGCAACGAATATCATTTTGTACTTAAATAGCTTGTCCATCCCGGCCGGTTTCGAAACATTGAACTTTGTCTTTATAGGCAGGTTCGTTTTTTCTTTGCCACATGCGCGAATTAACGTCTGACTTTTGACTTTATCTGTACCAAAGGTAAAATTATTCACTTAAAATTCCGTTAAACTAATTGATAACCCAGTAATATCATTTTTTTGTACTTCAATAGCTTGCGCGGAGATGGCTTTGATAAAAAAATCTCAAAAAACTAAAATTATCATTTTTAAATTTACACGCGTGGGGATGGTTTTTGGATAATATTTTTTTTTCAAACAAACACTATTCCATTTAAAAAGAGGTCAAAACAGTTGAGGTTTTGCCCTGATATGAGCATTTTTTAAACAAAATCTTTTGAAGCGTGGGTCAGTTTCCCACTTCTTTTGATTTCCTTGATACGGAAGTGTACGTCGAAGATAAATCTTGGTTATAAAATTAAAATTTTGGCGGTAAGAATGAACAATGTGCGAACCTTTTGCCACCTTTTTTTATGTCGCTAAGTATAGAAAACAATTATTTATGTTAGTTTCTTACACTCTTTAATTTTTTAAAGGGCGCTTTTGGCGCCGGTCCATTTGTTATAGAGGTGTCACAAATTTCGAGGCGTGAAATCTTTTAGAATCGGATTCCTTTCAGACTCCAGGCAGGTACCTGCCAACAGATATCTGTCAATTTGACTCAGTCAGCCCCTGATCTTTGTCCAGTATGAAACTGCTGAAAAACTAACTCCGATATAATTTGAAGGAAGATTGCTTATCGACTTTGCTTTAGTATAGAACCACAAAGAAGTAGAAATAAGTTTTGATGATGTCGTAGACAGGTTTGCCATTAATACTTGCAGACTGACTTTTGTATAATTTTGCCTATTTTGAGTTGATTTTTGAAATCAATTTTCAGTATATTTTTTTTAATATTCCACCCTTTCAAAAAATCCAAAATCAGCGCCTGTTTCCACCGTCGTTTACCACTTTTAACAAAAATTTCCGTCAATTATTCCATCCCAATTCTTTACTTTACTTAATTGTAATTTAAACCCCTCCCCGTGTTAAGCCAAATCGTCCACAATTACCCTACCATGTAAAGTTTGAGATACAACAAATGTTGGGGGAGGCTTGTTATTGGCGCTGGAAAAGGAAGGTATATGGAGTGCTAATACTATTCAACGCTGCGTTATGGGAAGTACAAGTATATTATCCATTTGATAACAAAATCAAATTTTGAGAGAAAAAAAAACATTTCATCGACAATAATTTTTTTTTTCAGGCTAAGTAGCTGTTTTTGAAATAGGAGCCAAAATTACAAACCCGAACTTCAGGAGCTGAAATTTTTCACACAGAGGCGAAGAGCAGTTTTGCATCACTTTGTAATACAAAATGCATTATATGATGACCAGCAAATGAGAAGACAAATCAAAATCGAAAAAAAAACCTTCAAATAATCGTTATTTTTGTCAAAAAAAAATTATAAAAATAGCAAAAAAGACAACAAATTCCTGAAACAAACTAACCATTAAAAACAATACAAAGAACTTTCAATGGCTAAAGGAAAACCAAATCTTATTGTGGAACCTAAGCCGACAAAACCAGCAGACACGAAAGTCTAGAATATTCGAAAATCTGGGAGTACAAAAATCATTTAAACATCTGGGATTTTTTGTCTCAAGAATGCGTTTTATCACTGCACTAAATGCAGAGAACACTTCTTAAACGTATTTAAAAAAATTCAATAATTTTTTATTAAATCAACATGAACAGCATGAAAAAAAAGATTTGAACAGCATTTGATGTGAGCAGCTTAAAAAACGAACAGCAAGAACAGAGTAAGCAAGAAAAACAAGCAAAAACAATGGGCAAAATTTGTTGGAACTCAATTACCTGCTCAAAATTGAAAAAAACATTTCCTGACCGGTTTCGAACGATTGACTTTGTCTTTATAGGCAGGTGCGTTACTACTTTGCCTCCTGCGCAAATTAACGTCTGACTTTTGGTTTTATCTAAACCAAAAGTAAAATTATTCGATTAAAAATCTGTTAAACTAATTAATAACCCAAAAAAGTCTGTATAGTTGTTTAATAACGCTGACTAATCTTAGACATAATTAAAGCAACTGAAACTGTCAAAAAAACAAATCACAAATGCTTGAAAAAAAAGACCCAGGTTGTCTTACATACACCCAACAATTTCACATATGATGCTTAGGAAAAATATTCAAACACTGCCGTAACAATTTTTCAGCACATTTTTCAGTTTTATAATTAAAAATATTTTTCCAAAAACAAACATTTGCTTTCATGTTTTTAGCTGAAATGTATTTATTTAATTTTGATTGGTACCAAATATTTCGGCTAGTTAACAATTACACAAAACTTACTGTTACTGCAAACAACTAGCTAATTTTTTTTGTGAAAGTGACTGCAAGAAATCAGGCAATTTTATCAATATCAGAGACAAACATTTTTTCTTGACATGGATTCATAGTGCAGTTTTTCTATGAGATTTCATATGTCGTTCTCACCTATGAGTATTTTTTAGCCAGAGTAAAAATGTTTGTAAGCAAAACCAAAAAATCATAAAAAATTATACAAAGAAACAATTTAGAGATTTGAAAATTTATGAAAGAAAGCAAGTCATACAATTCAATATATGGCAGAATGTTAGTCATACAATTCGCTTATATGGCAAATGGGTAGATACGCAATGCCCATAAGGGGCAAAAACTAGTCATACATGTCTTGTATTGTCTCTTTCATGTAGTTTCTTCAATCAATTACACGTATGCGCCATACATGAGAGGTGTATTTCTAGCATATTTAGTCAACCCGGGCATGCAATCCTGCAAAAAATTCGATCTAAAATTTTATTTAACGCAAAAAGCTCGTTGAATGATTGCTTAATGAAGTCCCTCAAACACTATCTTCTGTTTATT